CCCCCCCCCCCCCAGCTCAAGAACGCAGAGCAGGGGCTGGCCTGGAACTGTACACACGCTCTTCATGTGTACAGGCACTAAGCGTGTTATGTATGATACAGGAAGAGCTGCCAGCCCAGGCAGGGCAGTCCTGAGACTCACCTCCAGCTAACCACCAAAAAGCCACAAGTAGAGCAGCGGTAGAACACCAACTTTGAGCATAAAACTCAGGGACAGAGGACAGGACCTGAGTTCAAACTCCAGGACCCGTACACACACATGTACATGTACACACACGTATGCGTGCGTGCATGCACACACACACACTCACTCCGCATGAGCAGTCATTAAAGGCAGTTAATTTATACAAAGCGTACTGACATAACCGGCTCCTGACTTTCAGCTCTACTCTGCTGCTCTTGGTGAATCGAGCCAGGCTCAAAGGCACGGCTCCCATCTCCGCTGACACTATCTTCCTGCCTTTTGCAACAGCAGCTCTGTTCCCCTCCACCCAGGCCTGCGCGTACTCTTCAGGCCGGGAAGGCCCAGCCTGCTGACTGACAGGTATGCCATGCCTCCTAACCCTAACTTCCCCCTCCTTCTCCTTCCATGCCCCAGCTCCCTAGAACTCAAACCTCTACTTCTCTCCCTCCCCACCCCATAGCCCCCTCCCATTCCTGATCCTAGAGACAGTCCAAGCCTACCCACTAAGCTGTGGTCCTTTCCAAAGCCCTTCCTTCCAGCTCTCTGTACTGGTATTCTCTGGGAACTGGGCTTCTGACCAACCCCAACAGAGTAGATCTAGAAAACTCCAGAAGGGTCTGGGAATGTGGCTTAGTGGTAGAGTGCTTGCCTAGCATGCTTGAAGCCCTGGGTTCATCAGTACCACATGAACAGAAAAAGCCAGAAATGGCACTGTGGCTTAAACGGTAAAGTACTAGCCTTGAGCAAAAGCTCAGGGACAGCACCCAGACCCCGAGTTCAAGCCCAGGACAGATTAAAAAAGAAAAAACTCCAGAAGCTACAACCTGGCTATCTACAGCCTCTGCAGTCCTCTCTAACTCACCGAGCAAGTCTAATGTGAGGCCAGCAAACACAGCCCACACAGGCGAAGGCAGGCTTTCCCCTCAGGAGGCAAGCAGTCATGTTTCCAACTAAACATAACTTGTGCACAGTAGCATGTGTCTGCCATCTTGTCACTCAGGAGGCTGAGACAGGAAGATTAAGGTTTGAAGCAGCCTGGGCAGAAAAGTTTGTAAGACTCTATCTCTGGTTAACTGGAAAAATGGCTAGGTATGGCTGAAGTGGCAGAGCATCAACTGTGAGCAAGAATGCAGCAAGAACACAAGGCCAAGCTTCAGCCCAAGAGCAGAGTCCGGACCCCACTTCTGGACTGTCTGTCTGTCTAAGTATCAGGTGTGGTGGCACACACTGGAAGTCCCAGTGCTTGGGAAACTAAAGGAGACGGGCCACAGATCAGAGGCCTGCCCGGGCTTCCCAGTGAGATCCTGCCTCAAAACGAATTTTGTTTAACAGTAAATTCAACTTCTTCTAATATTTGCCTATTGAATACTCTAGGATCTTAGTGATTAAAACGAACAAATTCACTTGATATTTTCAAAGTACCAATAACGCTAAAGAATTGAATATTTTTACTCATACATTATACACTGAGTTTTCTAACAAAGGGAACTCTTGTCCGGTGACTTCCTAAAACCTTTCTTTGGACAGGCAGTCCAGTCCGTGAGAGGCTGGGCTGCAGCTTTTCCATCTCCAGCCGCCCCAAGCTCTCTTCTAGTCAGGATTCTTTCCCATGTGCCAAGCTGCTGGCCAAGTCACCGGTGCATCGCCCTCCTCCAGCTCTGTCTGAAGAGCCAGCCCCCCCCCCCAACCTAGGAGCACCTGTGCCTCCCGTGGGTCAGGGGCTCTGGTGGGAATCTTCCACAGGGTCCTACAGACCTGGCTGAATGAAGGACTTGCCGAATCAGCTTCTGGAAAACTCCATGCCCTGCAAACGCCCTGATGTACACTGACCCTCACAAATGTCCCACAGTGGGCTTGGGGCTCACCAGCCCTGGCAGAAAGGAACCTGTACTCACTGTAATTCAGGTCACCACAAGCAAGGTCGGGACATTTCTTTTCCCCAAAGTAGTTCAGTATTAATACCACTTCAATGAAATGGTGAGCCACACCTCCCACCCCCAGCCCCCACCCCCGTATTACAGCATAAAACTAGTCTCTAAATACCCAGCAGGGCCTACTGAGGGTTGTGAGGTTTTCTGGTAGATCATAGGGCTTGAGCTCAGGGCCTGTCCCTGAGCTTTTGTGCTCAAGGCTAGCACTCTGCCACTATGAGCTACAGCTCCACTTCTGATTTTCTGTTGGTTCATTGGAGATAGATCACAGACTTTCCTACCCAGGCTAGCTTTGAACCCACGATCCTCAGATCTCAGCCTTCTGAGTAGCTAGGATTACAGGCGTGAGCCACTGGCACCTGGATGGCCTTTTCTTTTTGAGATACCATAAAAATCCTAGCATTCAGGAGGCTTAAGCATGAGGATCACTGAATTCAAGGGCAGCCTAGACTACTCAGGTAAGACCCTGTCTCAAACTAACACCCCCAAACCACCTAAACTACTGTTCTTCATGTTTCTAAATTCTCTATTTTAGTTTTTAATACAAGCAACAAGATAGCTGGTGTTACTGGAATAAAATCAGTGCTTCAAATAAGAGCTCACCTATGGACTGTCTTAACTGTACAGGGACTTCAACTCAACAGAGAAAGCTGAAACAAACACTGAAGATATTTCAGCCAGGCACAATGGTTTCATACCTTAAATCCTAGCTATTAGGAAGCAGAGATCAGGAAGATCATGGTTCAACCCAACACAAAAAGCTAGCAAGATCCAAACAAGCTGGGCATGGTGGGGCACATCTACTGTGCCTGCTCTGTGGAAGACAGTTTCAGCTTTACGACAAGAACTGGAGACATTGTCCAAAAAGTAAACAGCTGAGGACAAAAGAGGCTAAGGGCATGGCTAGAGAGGTAGAGCGCCTGCTGATCAAGCCTAAGAACCTGAACTCAAACCCCAGCAGATAAATAAATTCATGTACACACCTGTAATCCTAGCACTCAGAGAAGGCTGACGCAGAAGGATCCTGAGTTTGAGGCCAGTTTGAGCTACAAAGTGAGGTCTGTCTCAACACAGACACACACATAGGGGAAAGAAAAAGGAGACTGAGCCCCTGCAGAGTGGTTACACAGGCGATTACATTTCTTAATTTGACTTCTCTAACTTTAAAAAATACAGTATCAACCTAAACATTAAACTTAAGGTCAACAAAGGCTTTTTTTTGTTTTTTTTTGGGGAGGGAGGGTTAGGGAGAATCAGTCATGGGGCTTGAACTCTGGGCCTGGGCGCTGTCCCTCAGCTCTTCAGCTCAAGGCTAGCGCTCTACCACTTGAGCTACAGCACCACTTCTGGTTTTCTGGTGGTTTACTGGCGATAAGAGTCTTACAGACTTTCTTGCTCGGGCTGGCTTTGAACCGTGATCCTCAGATCTCAGCCTCCTGAGTAGCTAGGATGACAGGCGTGAGCCACCAGCACCTGGTTCAACAAAGTCTTTTGAAACCATTTCTACACTGAATGGTATTTTACTCATTAACCTGTATGTACTATCATCCTAAAATAAAAATCTATAAATGAAGAAAAAATGGTGCTAAGACCCTTTATTTCACAGGGTACAGAAGCTAAACCTTCCTCCTGTTAACAGATGCTCACACTCCCTGCAGAGGTAAAGTGGGGCCACCTGCACTGTTTGAATTCTGCTCCCTCACTGAACGAGCACTTTATTTCCCTCTTAGCATGTAGGCACATGCAGAGTTCAACGCAAATGGGTTGTCTTGTTTTGTTGTTTTTGTTTTGTCCTTACTATGGACACAAACTGGCCTGGAATTCAGAATCCTCCCTCTTCTGCCTCTTCTGTCTTGCTAACACAAATATCCTGGCTGAAGAGTAATAAAATAACTATCTTTAAATATCCCCTAAATCCTCAGAATAAATAATTTCCTTGGTTATAAAATCAACTTTGTTTTTCTTGTCCGTTGTAGGGCTTCAACTCTCAGGGCCCAGGCACTGTTCCTGAACCTCTTTGTACTCAACACTAGTGCTCTACCCCTGGAGCCACAGCACCACTTCCGGTGTTTGAGATAAGTCTCACAGGGATAGTTCCTCCCCGGCTGGCTTTGAACCGCCATCCTCAGATCTCAGCTTCTTGAGTAGCTAGGATGACAGGCGTGAGCCACCAGCGCCCGGCTTGCTGAGCTCCTTTGCTCTACCACTTTGAGCCACAGCTCCACTTCCAGTTTTTGAGTGGCTAACTGGAGGTAAGAGCCTTGTGAGAGCCGGGCGCTGGCGGCTCCCGCCTGCCATCCCAGCTACTCAGCAGGCTGAGATCTGAGGACCAGGTTCCAAGCCAGCCCGGGCAGCAAACTCCGTGAGACTCTGATCTCCAATAAACCAGCAGAAAACTGGAAGTGGCGCTGTGGTAGTGCTCGCCTGGAGCTGAAAGACGGAGCCCGGCTGAGCTCAAGCCCCACGACCCCCGACGACGACAAAAACTCCTGAGGACGTTCCTTCCTGCCCGGGCTGGCTTTGAACCGCCACCCTCAGATCTCAGCCTCCCGTTAGCTGATGACAGCGTGAGCAGCGGCCCGAGCCCCGCAGCGGCCCCCGGGCCGGCCGCGGCGGCCGAGGCCCCGCAGCGCGCTGGGAACCGCGCGGCACGCGGACAAAGCTGCGCTTGGAACCATCGCGAAGCGCGCTCGGAGGGCGAGCGGGCCTTTCCCGGGGGGGCTCGGACACCGCTTCCCGGCGGCCATTTCCGAGCGCAGAGGCCTTCTGGAGAGAAGTTGCTGGAGAAGTTCGGGGCTCCCGCGCGGGCCGCGCCGGGCCGGGGGCGGGGCGCGGGGCCCCGGCCGGAGGCGGCGCGGCGCGGCCCGTCCCCGCCGCCCCACTCACACGCGCGGCAGCTGCAGCGGCGGCGCCCCGCGCCGCTGGAAGACGCCGTCCACGAAGACGCCGTTCTTGCCCAGGCAGCGCAGGTAGAAGTCGCCGCCCGCGTCCGGCCGCGGCTGCGCGGGCTCCGGGGCCGCCGCGCCGGGGCCGCCGCCCGGCGGCGTGAAGATCTCCAGGTGGCGCCGCGAGATGAAGCTCGAGTGCCCCATGCTCACGTCCACCGAGCCCTGCGACGAGTTGCGCCCGATGGTCACCGAGCGCTTCTTCATGAGGTACTCGAACTCGCGGCCCTCGAGCCGCGCCACGGCCCAGCCGCCCGGCGGGCTCCCGCCGCCCCCGGCCCCGCCGCCCGCGGGAGGGGCGCCCGCGCCCGAGAGCGCCGCCGCGGCCGCCATCGCCTGCGAGGCCCGGCCGATCCGCGCGGGCGCCCTGGCGGGCCGAGGCCCGGGCGCGGTCGTGGGCCGCGCTAGGCGAGCACGGGCGCCGAGGCCGCCGGCCGGCGAGGAGAGCGGCGAGGGCGGGCGCTCGCGCGGCCGCGCGCCGGGCCGCCTGACGGACGCGCGCGCCGGCCAATGGGCGCGCTGCACGCGGTGGGGCTACCGCGGCCGGCCAATGGCGGGCCGCGCTGCCGAGCGCCGGCACGTCCGGCGGCGTTGCGCGACGCAGGCCGGGCCCGGCGGCGCGGAAAACCCGCGGCGGAGCGCGGCTCCCTCGCGGGGCCGGGGCGCACGAGGCGCGGGCGGGGGCCAAGGTCACGGCGGGCGCGGGCGGCGTCCCCCGCGCCGGCCTCCGCAGGCCGCCTTCCCCGCCTTCCCCGCCGGCCCGCGGCCGGGGCGCCCGGGGGCTGCGTGTTCACCGCCCGCGGCCCCCGCCCGCCGGGCCTCCGGTGGACAAGCCCGCGGCGGCCCGGGTCCCGACGTCCGCGGCGGACGGGCACGGGCGCCGGGGCCCAGCGGAGGCCCGCGAGCGAGGCCCGGCCAGGACGGCGCCGCCGCGCTGCCGGCTGCGGGCCGCGGGCCGCTCCCCGGGGCGCTGCGTGGGGCCTCCCGAAGGCGGGCCGAGGAGGGCGCGCACCGCCCGCCCAGCCGGTCGTCGGAAGTGCAGCCGCGGCTCCAGCGTGGAGGGCCGGCCTGGGCAGGACGGCGCGGGGACAGCACCCGGCCTGCCCTCATCCGTGCGGGAGGTGCGGAGCACCGCAGGAGCACCCAGCACAGCCCAGGAGCACCCAGCAGACGCCCAGGAGCACCCAGCACAGCCCAGGAGCACCCGGCACAGCCCAGGAGCACCCGGCACAGCCCAGGAACACCCGGCACAGCCCAGGAGCACCCGGCACAGCCCAGGAGCACCCGGCACAGCCCAGGAGCACCCGGCACAGACCCGGAGCACCCAGCACAGCCCAGGAGCACCCAGCAGACGCCCAGGAGCACCCAGCAGACGCCCAGGAGCACCCAGCAGACGCCCAGGAGCACCGGCACAGCCCAGGAGCACCCAGCACAGCCCTCAGGCCAGGTACCCACAGACACCCCGCACAGCCCTCACGCCAGGTAACCACAGACACCCAGCACACACCCAGGAACACCCAGCACAGCCCTCACAGCAGGTTCAGAGCACCCCAGGAACACCTAACACAAGGCTCCATGGGAGGTACCCACAGACACCCAGCACACGCCCAGGAACACCCAGCACAGTCCTTACAGCAGGTACAGAGCACCCCAGGAACACCCAGCCCAAGGCTCCATGGCAGGTATGGAGTACCCCACAGACACCCAGCACAAGCCGTCAAAGGAAAGGACAGTGAGAAATGTTTCTCAGATGCTGTGGAGACACGCAAGAGTGGGTTTCCTGAGTTAGCTCTCAGGCGCTGTGCGCTTGGAGGAAGGCTAGGGCTCTGTCTGTAGTGTCCAGTCCAGCGTCGTAAGTTTCACTGTGAGAAATGTCTTGACTTGTTTGGAGTTGTATGCTGGTAACATATATGAGGTGACTACTTTTCACATGCTGTCATCAAAGTTGAGTGACTACCATATGCAAGAAAATCAGACCTAGCGGGCGCCATGGCTCACTCCTATAATCCTACTCAGGAGGCTGAGATCTGAGGATCAGTTCAAAGCAAGCCCAGGCAGGAAAGTCCCTGAGACTTATCTCCAATGTAACCACCAGAAGAATAAAAATGGAAATGGCGCTGTGGGTCAAGTGGTAGAACGCTAGCCTTGAGCTGAAGAGCTGAGGGACAGCGCCCAGACCCGGAGTTCAAGCCTCACAACCCCCAAAAAAAGAAAAAGACAGACCTGCACATCTGAAGAGAATGATTGTGGTTTTTTTTCTAGTGTGTTTTTATTGTGTTTTTGTGGGTTTGTTGGTTGCAGGGCTTGAACTCAGGGCACGGCTCTGTCCCTGAGCTCTTTGTGCCTCATATGAGTACTCTACCACTTGAGCCACTGCACCACTTACGGTTTTTGAGTGATTAATTGGGGATCAGAATCTCACAGGGACATTTCTGCCTAGGCTGTCTAAGAAACATCCTCAGATCTCCACCTCCTGAGAGCTAGGATTACGGTGTGAGCCACCAGCACCCAGCACCCTCAACTCTTGCTCAAAGCTAGTGCTCTACCATTTTGAGCCATAAGATTGTGATCTTAATCTCAACACTCTTATTACCAATTCACTGGACAAAGCCAGACCTGGGCAGGTCAGGTGTAGTGTGAGCAAGGACTTGGTTTGATCCCAGTGCTGCATAAAAATAGAGAATACATTTGAGTGGTAGAGTGTGTTGCTAGCCTAGAAGACACCATGGGTCCATCCCTAGTACCGTATAAACAAGTGAGCAAGCAAACCTCTGTTCAGTTTAAATCCAATGTAAAGAGAGATACATTCACAGAAGGCATTGCTAAATGCAGGAAATAGAAAGGTGAGAAAACAGGTCCTGCTTCTAGCAAATGAGTAAAAAGACAGATGCCACATTTTTAAATAGTGGCAGAGACTTCTTGTGATGGAGAGCAAGTTACAGATATGCAAGGGAAGATTCCCCAGAGAAACTGCAGCAGAGCAAGAGCTGAGGATGTGTGGGCTCTACCCTGTGGATGTGGACAGAGGGGAGCACAGGAATGTTGAGTCGAGGCTAGTTTACACAGGTTAGCACACAGGTCCTTCCTGGTACTGTCTCCCTGGAAAGAGCCTAGAAATGACAGCAGCCTAGTAACTGAACATACCACACGCAGACTTGCGCTAAGAAAACCAGGGCTCCTTGGAGAAATGTTAGGAACCTGCTGACTGTATTCCCAAATGGCTGCACTATTCCACATTTCCATGAGCCATGAAGAGGAGGGTCCATGCCAGAGCTGGTCTCTACCACAGCCACTCGCGTGTGAGTGCGTGTGCGTGTGTTGGCATCTCCTGTTTTCCTAACAGTGATACTGGACTCATTTTTTTTTGGGTCCAGTCGTGGGGCCTGAACTCTGGGCCTGGGCGCTGTCCCTCAGCTCTTCAGCTCAAGGCTAGCGCTCTACCACTTGAGCCACAGCGCCACTTCCGGCTCTTTTCTTTTTGCTTATGTGGTGCTGAGGAATAGAACCCAGGGCCTCAGGCATGCAAGGCAAGCGCTCTACCACTGAGCCATCTTCCCAGCCCCCCTAACAGTGATACTGGACTCTTTTTGTCAGTCATGGGGCTTGAACTCTGGGCCTGAGCACTGAACTGCAATCCTCAGATCTCAGCCTGCTGAGTAGCTAGGATTACAGGTGTGAGCCACCAGCACCCGGCTGGACATTCTTTATAATAACCAGTCAAAGCAAAGATTCCTGTCATTGGTGTTTTCAGAGTCAAAGACGTGCTCCTGTCAGACGCCGAGAAGGCAGGTAATGGGAGCCGGGCCTCCACTGAGTATAGGACGGGCTCCCTGTGTCCTGTGCTGTGCCCACAGGACCAAGTCCATGGCCTGCTCAGCCTCTGCCCCCCAGCCTCAAGGCTATCCCTCCTTTGTAACGTGATACCGACTTACACACGGCAGCTCCCAGGTCACCATATGGTCAGAGTTCCCTCCCCCCCCCCCCCCCCCCCCCACTACCGAGTGCTGGGACCAGGGTACTGGGCTGGGGCTGGATACATGGGCTAGGTAGGTTGCTGGAGAGGTCTGAGGACTGGCCACAGATTCCCAAACAGGACTGTCTCCCTCCCTGCCGCCTAGTGCAGTGCTGGAATTGAGCTGGGGTCTCGCGCTCCATCTACTGCTTAGGTGCTCGGCTCATCAGAAGATGCCACGTCGTCGGTCCTGCCTGCCTCTGGCGGGGGTGACAGAAGTCAGAGTGTAGACCACACCTGGAGGTGTTCTGAGATGCAGTCAGTTCAGGAAAAGGAGAGGCCCACCCTGCAGTTACTGTATGGCCTGACTCCCACCGCCCCACCCTGACAGTCACCTTGGTAAACGCTGCTGCATTTTTCTTGGCAGTGGGGGGATCCTAGCCCCCTGTGCTTGCAACGAGCCAGGGTGGATTTGGTGAGGAACTGGGAACAGGTCCAGGGACCTGCCTGATTCAGACTTTACTATAGGGACCTTCTCTGAAGTTGTGGGGAGTCTCCTCTAAGGCACTCCCTGGCGCAGTCCTCAGTCTTGGTCTTTGGACCTGTGCGCACAGACGTGGAGATGCCCTGCTCAGAGGCTCCCCTGGCCCACACAAGATCCATTTTGGATCCCTGTGAGCAAGGTTCAGGCATTTCAGCCTGGTGTTCTCGGCTGGTATGTCAACTGCAGACATCACTGATGGCAGGCTTTGCTCCATCCAGGCCCAGGCCCGGGCCCAGCCTCAGCATTCACCTGAGGCCACCTGCATGCGCCAGGTGCTGCAGTCAGGGAGTGCAGTGGGCCGGTTGGGGTGCTCACTCAGTTGCTGTCCAGCCTCAGGACACCGATGTGCTGGTGCGTGCGGAGGATCTGTGGCTCACCACTCACAGCTTCCCCGAGAGCTGATCCTAGGAGTACTTAGAGGGGCCGGGGCAGCTCGTGGCAGATCACAGGCTGAGCGTGCTCAAGACCCTGGATCCCATACCTGGCAGGCAAGAAAAAACTTCATGCCCACCAGGAAGAAGTGGTGGAGCACATGCATAGCACAGGCAAACCCTGGGTTCTGTTCTCAGCACTGCAAAACATTTAAAAAGGGCACTTTAGCTATGACTGCCCCCAACCAGGACTCCTCACATTTTCATCTGATGGAAGAAATGTTGTGTTTGTTCCTTCCTGAAATCCAGCCACCACAGAGATGGGACGTGGGGCTATGCAGGTTGTTAGTTTTTTTGCTTTGGGTGGTCTTGGACGCAGGAGGCTGGGATCTGAGGATCACGGTTCAAAGCCAGCCTGGGCAGGAAAGTCCATGAGACTCTTATCTCTAACCACCAGAAAACCAGAAGTGGTGCTGTCAAAGTAATCGAGCGCTAGCCTAGAATAAAAGAGCTCAGGGACAGCAGCCAGGTCCTGAGTTCAGCTCCCGCCCCAGAAAAGTCTCACGGACTTGACTGCTCCTGTTGGCTTTGTACCGAAATTCTCCCAAGTAGCTAGGATTACAGGCCTGAGCCACCAGCCCCCGACTTCCATGACTACTTTCAGCAGCAAAAAGAATTTGGGGATTTTTTTCTTGGTATGTTTATTTTTTGAGTCTACATAGCCCAGCCTGGCCTCAAACTTGTGATCTTCCAGCCTCAGCTTCCCAAGTCCTGGGATTATGGTTGTGTACCACCATGCTCAGTTTATGATTCTCTGAAAGTTGAGGGACAGGGTGTGTGGCTCAGGCACTAGAGTACTTGCTTAGAAAGGCCAGGCCCTTGAGTTCAAACTCCAGTATCCCTGCAAAGAACCTGGGGGAGAGCAGCAGCCTCAGTCCTGACAGCTGTCTTCACTGGCTAGCCAGCAAGGCTGCCTGATGGAAACGCAGTGGCTGTAGACGCCAGACATCCCAGACTAAGTGTTGTGGAACCAGGACTATTTCCTGAGATGATGGCTTCTGCCCAGGAAATGCAGCCGCAGGCTCCTGGTCGGCACGCTGTACTCAGAACTGGGTCTGAGCGTGAGTCAGGCGCACTTTGCCCAGCCGTAGTCCTTTTGCTCTCCTGGGGGGGAGGGGGGCGTGCAGTTATCCCCACCCACATGCCTGTTACTAGGCTCACCTTGCCGAGGTCCTGTCCCATCCTCCAGCACCCCCTCTTCTCCTTCCCTCCTCTTCTGACCATGAATCCAAGACCTGTCGAATCCTAATGCTGCTTTCCTGTAGACAAGGGAGCTGGCACACAGGCAGCAGCACGGCGATGGCACTGAGGACCTGCAGCCGCGGCAGGCAAACCTACAGCACAAGTGTCACAGTGCCAACCCGTGTGTGCGTGAGACAGGCTCTTCCTGAGTAGTCCAGGCTGTCCTTGAACTTGAGATCTGACAAGTGCTAGAATTCCAAGCATGTGCCAGTTCCCAAACCCGACGCCTTGTGAAGCCTCAGCCTTTCCATCCATGCCGTGTGGAAGTACAGTTGGGCCCAGGTGGTGGCCGAGTGGACGGGGCTCCAGTTCCCGTA